AAGAGTAATGCTGAGAGGCCAGGGAACCCGCGAAGTTATGAAGTGGATGATATGGTATTCCTGAGGGTGTCTCCTTGGAAGGGAGTGATGAAATTTGGGAAGAAGGGAAAGCTTAGCCTGAGGTATATCGTTCCATATGAGGTGTTGGAGAGTATTGGACCCTTAGCCTATCGACTAGCCTTACCTCCTAGCCTATATAGGATTTACGACGTTTTCCATGTTAGCATGCTAAGGGTGTATTGGTCCAACCCGGAGCTTGTGATCAGGCATGAGGACATCCAGTTGGAGGATGATTTTACCTATAAGGAGTTGAGGAGGAAGAAGATTGCCATGGTAAAGGAAGCATGGAGGAACCAGGGCAGCGAGGCTGCGACTAGGGAGACAGAGAGTAACATGAGAGAGAAGTACCCAGAGTTGTTTATTGGTGATTGGATCAGTAGTTGGTGAATCTCGATGTACTTTCAAGTTTAGTTCTCATTACTCGATTTTCAATATTAAAACATGTGGTTCAGTCTGGTTTCACAATAGCTAGCAACCCAGATTAGCCACCAATTTAAAGGTCGTAATTTTTTAAAGGGGTTCAAGTTAAGTGAAAAATTCTTCCAAGACAAAAATAATTAGGAAAAATGGTCGGTTTTGAAGGGATTATGTCTAGAATTTTTTTTAAAGGGGGTTAAGGAACCTTTGGAACGAGGCTCGAGGACTGGATTTTGAGGAGAGGATGTTCTAGTGATTCAAAAGGGAATTTTTTAATCGAGAAAGTTCGACTAAGGAAATGGGCTTCTTGTTAATAGGTTCACCGAGATAATTCGGCTAGGAGGGATTTCTTCGTGTAAGGAATCGAAGAGTCATCTGTTCAAGGTGAGTGTAAAGGCGGTAAACTCTACGCCTTACGTGTTCTTTCAAGTATCACAAGCTTTTAAGGACTTTGATGAAGTGATTGTCGCTGTTTGATTGTGCTTATGATTAATTATATGTCCTTTGTTTGAGCTATGTTTGGAGTGAATATGTATGAGTTGTTATTTACTTTAAAGCTTTACATTGAGGAGTTATTATCAAAGTTTAACAAACAAGTTCTCCTTTTTAAGAAGTACCCCACCTTCAAAGGAGGTGAAATGGTTCTAAATGTTTTTAGTCACTAGCGCCAGTCCGTTGCCGTGAGATTTTGAGATAGAGAAGTAGTATGCTCTTGAGACTTTATGCTCTTTAGATATTTTAAGATGAGCTGCAGTTACGCTCTTGAGAATCGTGGAAGAAGAGCCTTGCACGATAAGCTTAAGTTAAAGGAAAGCCTGGATGGGCTCTCATACGTATGAGTTGGCAACCGGACTAGCTAGTGAGGGATCCCAGTGTTAGTCAAATATTTAAGTTGAGATTTGAGCTTTATGAATAAATTTTAAAGAGTGAAAGTATCATCCACCAGTTTAAGTTAAGTTCTTAAGTAAGAAGTACTAGAGATTTTAAACGTAAGGTCGTAGACTGACCCCAACTCACTCACCTGATATGATCCCAAATGGCCAAATATACACGTCAAAATTACTTGACAAAGAAGCTATCGAAGGTGGGAAGAAGAATGGGAGAATTTGGTTAAGTGTTGGAACAGTTTCGAGATGCCTACTTTGGAGGCATGGTTCTCACAAATGCACAATAAAAATTGGATTTCAAGGTCTTGTTTTGAAGATAAAGCTTTCATCTTTCCAATGGTATACTTTTTGGATCAAGATGATGTCATTAAGGTTGTTTTACAAGGCTTCAAAGTTGCTACCTCAAAACTGGAAAACTGCCAGAATTTGGCTAAGGCAGAACTGTGTTCAAGAAGACTGCTTTGGAGCTCTATTCCAGAAGCATGGATGAGATTCGAGTCTAGAAGCTTATACCACATGAAATTAGTTATGTTCTAATACAAAGACATAGCATTGGATGATTGGAAGCTTAACCGGAAGACTTTGATCGAGAGGCTCAAAGATGGCATCAAAGCTGTTTGGTTGCTTGGGGCTAAAGGCAGATTTTCTTTTCTTGTTTAGTTAGGATTTCATTGTTTCAGTAGTTTTTTATTCCTTTTCGTATTAGACTGTAATTAGGAGTTTATGGGACGTCTCTAACCCTATCTAGGCCTATTTAAGCTTTCTATTTCGTTGTAAAACTCAAACTTTGATTAATCGAATTGAGAACCTTTTGGTTTTGTGCAAGTTGCGACTTGTGTTGGGTTTGGTGGATTCCAAGCTCGTGAGCTCTTGTATCAATTGAATAGTCACTTCAATCGTGGTCGGGCATCTATCATTATACCAATCAAGCCTTTCCCTAGGTGTGGAACTGCACTTTTGGTTCCGTTTTATCCAAGTTCGTATTAAGAACGCAACGTTCTTGATTCGAGCTCAATCGATCCTTCGATTGAGTCGTTAGCTGCCTGACTTTGATAATATACACCCCCAGGGACGAATTATCACCAGATCGTAAAGGAGGATATCATAACCAACCAGTCCGTGACCAGCAAGCTAGAGGAGCTCAACACCATCGTCACTGAGGGATGTCGAGCCAGGCGTCAGAGTAAGCATCGAAGAACTGTTTAAGGTATTAAGACTCTGTTTATGAGTTTAAAACTGGAGATTCATTTCTTTTATTTCTTTTAAGAGTATGATTTAAGTTTTGCCTACGTGTTTACGACTTCAATTTGAGATATTAAGATATTTGAAATTGGTATTTTATTTAAAGTTGTGTTATTTTAGATTTTTAAATATACCTAGGGGTAGAAATGTCTTTTCCAAGTTCAAATTAGTAGGATGTTTCAGCGGCCCAAGGTGCTCATTTTATAGAATTGGCAGCTTGTTCACCAAGTTATAACAATACCAGTTTGGGTTGGACCGGTCTGGGTTTGGTTAGACCTGACCCGGTTGACTGACTTTGACTTTTGTTGACTGAATTGACCCGAGTTGATTTCCTGGGCTTCGGCTTTGGGCTGATATGGTTGAGTGGTTTAATTTTTACTTATTTTATTTGTTACACAATTAATCACTATTGTAATTAATTTTAAATTGGTTGGTAATTATTATTTAATGAGAATAGTAATACTTTGCTTAAATCAATCTAAGATCAAGGCTCATCCTCATCGTTATCCGTCAAGTTAAACCAACTCTATTGAATTGATTAACAAGAATTTTGACACTCAAACCTCATTCGGAGCCAACCCAAACCTCATTCGTAACCAACAATTATAACGTTGAAGTGGTTAAGTTCAATGCAACTTTGAACCATACAAAGATCTGAACATTTACAAACTTGAATTAGTTTAAATATTTGTATAAAATGACGATTAAGATTCACAATCGTCAATCTCAAACGAACCAAAGGTTCCTAGTAAATCATGTATCAACCCGGAAAAAATAGGGTGTCTACACAAGGTACAAAGTACCTTTTAGCGATTCAAGAGCCCTCAGCTCTCGTTTATACTCAACATGTGTGGCAACCCAATGTAGAGTGCAGAGAAGTGGTGCTTGGGCTAAGATGAATATGTCCATCAACTTCCCCACATGTGACCTTGATAAGGAAGGCAATGATCCATCCATTCTTGGTCATGAGGGAGAGATGCTTTCTTGCAAAAAGTTTGCAAAAAGTGGTGTAATTTTCATCAACGTTGGAAAAGGAGACCGATAAATGAGAACTGCTACCTTGAAAGAAAGAATAAAGAGAATCTTCTAGAGTCCCTGGTTTTTATCGTTTTGAGAAATCGTTTGGTGCACACCTTTAATGTCTAGACATCTTTAATGGCTAGGTCCCCATTCAGGAGTGTGTTTTCACGTAGAGATCGGCGGTAGAATTCTTAATGTCTGGTTGACCTCGAAAGTTGCTAGATGACCCTCTACCGACGATCTATTATGCATGTCATTGTGATTTATCGTGCAAGTTGTACAAGTTTGAGTAATTTTGCTTGGAGACAAGCAAACGCTTAAGTGTGGGGGCGTTTGATAACATTTGAAATAGGCTTTATTTAGTCCTTATTCTTAAGGCATTTGCATGTTAAATCACCGTGTCTAGGCCACATATCAAGTTATTCATGCCTATTTTCGTTACTATTTGCAAAACATGCATTTTGGCATAGGTATTCTAGACATGAAGTTTTCATAGGGTAATCGATGCCACTTTGTCGTATTTTATGCTTTTCCCATGTTTGTGAAGAAATTCTAAGTCTTATATGTGATAACCCCCTAGGTGGGTGGTTTTGGATCAGAGAAGCACAGCTAGGACTCAATTCAAGATTGAATCAAAACTTGGCGAAAAAGAACACAAAACAGGGTCTTGTGCTCATGTTTGGGATGGAACCTTTCATAAAACTTTAACGATGGGAAAGAGGCTCAATTGGTGTCGTCGATGATTGGACACGAACAAGATGAGTACTTGAACGATACAAGCTCAAGAGCAAACCTAGGTTCAGCTAGGTTGATCTCACAATTCACAAGACAAAACCTTATGAACGCGAACTCTCGATTTGTTATTCAACTCTATGAAATCTGAAAATTACAACGAATCAAAGCTACTTAAATAGACCTATCCAATCCTACTACTCTTAGAGAAGTCCTAAACAAATTACAATTGGAAATAGCAATTTAAAATAGCAAATATTACATAAAGTTCAAAGCCTAAATATAAATAAACAACCAAACATTAAAAAAAAACCCTAATCCACATTTATCCTACATTCAAAGGCTAATATAACAGACCCATTTAGCAATCAACAAATCAAAACATACGCAAAAATGGCGCAAACGCACAACAAACCAATAAAACATACCATAAATATAAGGGCTAATACCACTACGAAAACTGAACTATTAAGAATGTGTCATTTGTGTCCTAAAATATCCAATATAACATTTGTGTCCTAAACTATTGTCCATTAGAGTTGACGGTCAGTATTTAACATAAAATCTAGTTAGCATGGACGTGGCATCTGACGTGAAATTTTAAATTCAATTTTATTACAACGGAGATACAGAATCGCAAAATATTTAATTCAATTTTTATTAAAAACAAAGTAAAAATAACAAACTAAATAAATGGGAAATACAGATCGGCGATAGCCACTCTGCTACTTTTAGAAGTTCCCCAAAATCCAACGCATCCAAATCGCAACATCAATACCAGAGTCAACAAATCCTTGGCCAGAAATCAGATCGACAACGTTAGTCGACTAGCAGCAGCAAGAGAGAGGGTTGTATGTTGGAGAGGAGAGAAAACTCCCAAATCCAGTAGCTGGTGAACTGCACTACCTCTCACCTCCTTCGTCGCCACCAGAGGTAGATCCGCCTCCATCGTTGCCGCTCACTCAGATCTCCCACTGGCCTGCACTCTCTCTCTATCTCCTCCTGAATCCTCCATCGCCGCCGATCAGGAAAACCGGGAGCGTCACCTTCCCGGTGGTCCCCAAGATCTGTTGTGCCTCCTTCAGTTGCGAGAGAGCGGGAGGGTTAGACTTGCAGCGGTAGCGGAGGACGAAGCTGGAAATCCAATTGCGGTGGAAGATGGAAGGCGACTTAGGCGGATGAGTCGATTCTGATTCCGCCTCCGCCATGGTCTGGCTTGGATGTCTTTGAAGGATGAGAAGGAGAATTTCTTCCTGTGCGCCGGTATGGAAATTGAATTCGAGGACGGTGACGAGAGGAGGAGATTGGAATTTTTTACGTTCTTGTTTGGTTTAGGAGAGGGAGAGAAGGAAAGAGCTCGTTTTGATTTGGGGGGATTTTCAGGGGAAGGGGCTTGAGAAAATCCAAAGACCTTACGGGAGGGGTTTTATTGCTCCGGGAAGAACATCAGTGGCTCTGCGAGGAGCTCGACTCCGATCGTACTAGAGGAGACGGTGGAAGACGAGGCTAGTCAATGTTAAAGTTGACTTTCGTCTGGTCAACCGTTATCTATGACGCTCAACGAAATTATTAGGACATAAATGATACACAACTATTATAGGTTGGAACACAAATGTCATATTACATAGTTTAGGATACAAATGAAACATTTTTATAGTTCCGGTTTCCTAGTGTTATTAGCCTAAATATAAGGGTAAATACAATATATTATCCATAACTATTAAGTAGCGGGGAATTATAGCCATAACTATCGAAATACAAATTATTAGCCATAACTATTGTTGTGGGTCAAGATTTGGCTAACAGCCCGTTATTGTTTTCAAATTTTTAACGTAGAAGGCCATGTCAGCATCGTAAAAAATATGATATGATGACTGCCACGTGGGAGCCAGCTCACCATCGTAAAAGCTTAGTCATCATTACTAACAGAAGTGTTAACGAAAACTTAACGATTGGCTAATAATTTGTATTTCGATAGTTGTGGCTATAATTCCCCTCTGCTTAATAGTTATGGCTAATATATTGTATTTGCCCTAAATATAACAACCAGTACAACTAAATCTAAATATAACAACCAAGCATGAATCCAAAACCCTTATCCACATTCAACTTACATTCAAAAAATAATGTTACCCATGCTACAACCAACATAACAAAATATATACCTTTAAATGACAAAAGCTCAATGAACCTCTTTCTTCTTTGCTCATAATTTTGTGCTCTTTCTGCTTCTTTTATTTTTTTTTTCATTTTGCTTAATGAAGAGATGAATGAGCTGAAAGGGTGTTGGATATTTATTTCCCTTCAACTGATGAGTAGTTCACTGCCCACCCCAGCGATTCGCGACATCCTATCTCCGACGGGTATCAATCATTATATATATGAATAGATTAATTGAAAACAAAGCATTAAGAAAGAGCCATCATGTGGCCAATGGTCATACTTTAAAACACTTTTAAGACAAATTTGAACATCGTTCTTCATCACCGGATTCTCCATCTTTATCAAGGGCAAGACCTACAACAAAATAAAATAGTGTTAGATACAATTCAAATAATACAATGTAGATACGCAATACAGATATTTGAAACATTACCAGTAATGGCTCCAATCAAAGCCGGATCGTCATCTTCATTAACAGTAGACAAATTGTTCGAATGGAAATAATAGTAATGATATTAAGAAAACTTTTAACTAGTACTATAGTATTACCTTCCTCGTCAATATGGTTCAATAGCCAACTTTGAGTGCACATAAGAGATTCAACTCTCTTTGTATTAAGTTTACTTCGTTGAGAGCTAATCAATCGACCACCAACACTAAATGCAGATGCATAAGCAGCTGTAGACACTAGAATAGCAAGCACGTCTCTTGCAATCAAAGCCAATGTTGGATACTTAGACGCATTTGCTTTCCACCAAAGCAATATATCGAAATCATGACTTTTCCCTAAAACCTTTCCTCAAGATAAGAGTCCAACTCACTCTTGCCACAAGAAATTTGTGAAAGAAGTTGCTCAACGAACAAGTCATACTCAATCATCCTCCCTACACTTGATTCACCCAAAGTAGAACCATCACGCGACCAACCAGAACCCTCTTTACTTGCATCAGCCCTATCTTGATAGTCATGGACTAAATCGGCTAGCAAATCACGAACTTTCTGAATTTCATCACTAGACTTGTGCCCAAATACCATCGGATAGTAAAATTTCAATAATGTTATCTTGTACCATGGATCAGGAACAACAGCCGCGCTCAACATACCTTGACTTGAACCCCAATATTTATCAAACTTTTCAACTATCTTTTCAGCCTTCTTAGACATAAACAAATCATCACTTGATGGCCACTTTGATATCACAAATCTTGTCAAAAAACAAGTTGGTAGTAGGGTAGTGTGATCTAGAGAACAACTCAGCCACCTCATAGAACAATTGCAACTTCAGACAAACTTCATTGGCAAAAGACCAATCATTTGCTCTAGGCACCTTCTTATACTTTGGATCTCCATGTGTCAACCTAGCAAAAACATCCTCATACTCCAATGCAACATCAAATAAGTGGAGTTCCACCTAGTTGGGCAATCAAGACACAACTTCTTATCAAATTTGATAAGCAATTGTCTAGCTGCATTTTTAAAAGTTTCTTGTCTTTTAGGTATTGATTCCAAAAGGCTACACTCTCACAAAAATTCTCTACATTTTTCTTAATCACATCAAGACCATCCTTCATAATCAAATTCAACACATGTGCACAACACCTCATATCCAACAATGATCCAAATCTCATCAAATGCTGTGGATTCAACTTATCTTTTAGCATATGGATAAGAAAATATTTAAATGGTAGCGGGACACTGATAAATTTTCAAAAACGATTATTCAACTCCTAGTAGTAGTTTGCGTACGAGTAAATAAAATATTTCAGTGTTAGTCTATGTGATGTAAACTTGGGTTGTTGCTACTATACGTAAACCCTTTTTTTTATTAGACTACAACTCATTTGTTCTTATATTTTAAATTCAAATATAATAGTAACAATTTATTTCTTACCTCCAATTATTTTCAAAAGCTAATGATTAAACCCAATCACGGGCTCCCCTGTCTAGTAGGAAATATCGAGAGTTGTTAGCCAATGATTGTATTGTACAATTTTTCCAAAATACGAACACGTCATGTGCTTTGTTGTATTTCGTACCAATCAAATATTTTTTATTTAATAATTAATTTTATTTTTAGAAGAGGACACTCCTATGTAAAATTTATCGATTTGCCGCTCGGTTTCTGATACCATGGGGAACACTCATCCAGTACATCCAACATCATCATACCTAAGACTTTATGTATAAATTTTCAATTATAACGCTAAACAACCCTACTATATCATTAAGTCAACAAAGATACAATCATTTTTAATATGGTTCAAATCGTATGCTCCTAAAACATCTATTAATCCATAAGATAGAGTATAATATTTTCCAAATAGTTAGTTTCTAACTCTGATATATCTGCTAGTAATACTTAACTATCATAATTATCTTGTTAACAAGACGGAAAAGTGAAAGAATGAAGGTAGAATTGATGTAAATGAATTATATTTGAATTTGGATGGCCACTGAATTGCATTTCTACTATATATAGTTTTAAGTTACCTTCACTATCATTGATAGGTTCCAATTTGATCCATAAATTTTCTAGATGTGAAGAAATATTTCTTGGTGGGGCGGGTATGAGTATTGGGCGGGAGAGACTAAAACCATACCCACACTATATCCATCAAACTTTTTGCGGGTTTTACCCATGCCTGCTCCATATCCAGTCAATTCGAAAATTCCCCACGTTGACTGGATCGAAAGTGATCCAATACACGCCATCATTAGTTTGATTGTCATCCCTAGTTATTTTTACTTATCATGCTTGAGATATCGATTTTACCCCCTTGATGAGCTCATAGGGATATTATATTACATTTTAGTTAGCATGCATTTACCTCATAATTTATGAGACTGTTTTTGAAAACGTGGCACAAACCATAGATTATGAACATTTTTCCTTCGATCCCACGTTGGAACTCCGAACTTGTAAACCTTTTGGAAAATGTGACTAAAGAGAATGATTCAGTTGAATAGTTTTCATGTTGCTCAATAATGTCGCGATTTAGCATAGTCTAATAAGCAAAGGACTTTGATCTTGTCGATCAAATGACTCGTCTTGTTTTGACTTTTCTAGTATGTACTGCTAGTGGAGAACACGCTTTTTCCGTGAAGTTAATGACTAAACTACGTAACAAAATGATGGGTGATGACTTTCTTGTCAATAGTTTTTTATTTGTATTGAACGGAATATAGTGGACAATTTTACTTTAGACTTTATTTTGAGTGATTTGATTGATCTAAAAAAAATCATGTAAGTTTAAAATAATAAAATACATTTAATAATTTCTTATATTGTTATTTTCTTTGAAAAAAATGGCCCTCCCAAACTCGAAATCCTGGTTTAGCCCCTACAAGGCGCCATTACATTTTGCTTTAGGTGTCCATACAAATCTTTTAGCTAGTCGCATATCCATATATATAATTTCCTCTTAAGCCTGTAACCATACCCATATCCATATCCATTACACACATGTCATAGCCTCATAGGCTACTTTCATATCATTCATACATGTGTCCGAAGGTCATTCCATATCAATACACATATACTATCGTATGAGAGGCAACATCCTTTGCTTTTCATAACATTTGAGTACTTCAATGGCCTCTTCTCATTTCAAGTAACCCTCTTAGGGCCTCATATACCAAAGTTGCCAATATCAAATAGCATAATATCATTCCAATCCATACCATGTACCCATGACATCGTAATAAGGGCCGTCCAATGGACTGTGGAGGCCTTGTTCCAAAATTGAGATGTGGCCCAAATTGTTTTTTAAGTATAATAAAATTAAAATGATTATATCACAAAAATTTGAAATGTAATATCTTAACATTGTTTAAAATAAAATAATCTATTATTTCTCTAATTTTCTTATTCATCACGGGATCATTTCAATAGTTATGTATTCCATTAAAATTTTCTTATATTATTTTTCTAATACAAATAGGATTTTCGAAAAACAAACAGTACTTTAACAATAAATATAAGTGTCTAGTATACATAAATATGGAAATATTACCAAACTAATACTAATATTAATTAATATAATCAAAATCGTTATTATACTCATAATCAATTAAGCATACACTAATAATACAACCTACAATATATGATCGGATTTCACTAATAATATTACCAGACTAATACTAATATTAATTAATATAATCAAAATAGTTGTTATACTCATAATCAATTAAGCATACACTAATAATACAACCTACAATATACGATCGGATTAACTAACAGATCGAGGTGGAGGACCCTAATATTTGAAGGCCCTCTGTCGTGGGGCAGAATGGCATACCCTCTAGCCGAACCTTTTTTTTATTTCTGAGTGATATCAAAGGAGGATAATAGTTAAACTTACAATTTTACCCAGGATCCCTAAAAGACTCTAAAGAAGCCACCCCAAAAAATCAAAAGATTCTAGCTCTAGACGAGACAAAAGCATGCTTTACGCGCCACTCTATG